CTGATATATAATATCAATCTAAAGTTAGAACAATATAATTTGCTTCTTTATCTGCACTTGCAGCTTCACCAAACCTAACAACATTATAAATGCCAGTTCTTCTCTTGAACTTATCGAACCAGCCCTTGCTGGCCTTAAAGTCTTCAAACACAGCTTCAGAAGAACTAGGTTGATCTTCCTTCAAATGTTCATAAATTTCCTTGGCTCTTTCACAAATGAATTCAGTAGAAATGGAATTGCCTTTCATATGTTTTTCTTTTAACCCAAATCAGAAGTAACCTTTCTGTTTCTGCAATCAGCGATCTACCTTTAAACACTCCTGTAGATTTATCTCTTACTTTCACTGATTTAAATTTGTCTCTGTGCAATAATTGTATGAAAAATGTTGACAAATTATTTGGATCTGGTACAGTTATTAAAGAGAGGGAAGTCATAATATGTTATTGTATTTAGTGATGAAATATAGGTGGTTTTAATGGTAGCTGTTGAAGTAGGTATTTTAGATATTAGGATGTAATGTTGGACATTTTGAATATCATTTCCATTTAATGTATTTTGTGAAAGGTAAACTCAGGCTTACATGTGAAGGTGAAATAATCTTTTGATATAATAATTTAAACTAATGTTTGTTTGGTAACAAATCTAGTGCTGTATAATTAAATTACTGTGATACACCAAAAAGACTTAGAGCAGTAGTCTCAACTCATTTTATAGTACAGTACTGTAGTGTACTTCAGTACTCACTTGTACGGTAGTGACTGTTGTTACCATTTCCATAATGTTTTCTTCTCTGCACTGCTTACCATTCTGTGTTCAGTAATTACCGTGTAATCATTTTAATTTTCTTTCCCCCATATACTAGTCATTTCATTTGCCACAGACATTTTTGTGTCATATCTTAAGGAACTTGCAAGAGCTTAACAGATGTAGTGTGCAAAATTCTACAGTAAATAATATACAGTAAGTCTTGCTGATAAGTGTGTGATGATGTGGCTGTGATTGTGGGGTTTCAGTTAGGTTCCCAAAACACAGTTACTATATATTTCTTTTGTCATTAAACTCTCACTTGCCTTTTTTTCTTACTTCTACCCACACTTTATAATTTCTTCATCTGTGAATGTATGTAACAGTTAGTAGTGTAGTCTGCATTCAACTTCATGTTATATTACTTCTGAAATAAGCTTTGATCTGCTTATGAAACCATTTTGTAATAAGTTTAGCCTTCTCCATAAATACTTGAAGATTTAAAGATTTTTATACTCTGTATTCCCTGCATGTCAAGATAAGGGCAGGGGGGGGGGGGATAAGGAACTCTTTTCCTTATATTATCTCACAAAGGTACTAGAATCCTCAGGTGTATGATAAGCCATATGGAACCACAGTTTCCTGGTTTTGGAACTACAGAAGTAAGCTACCTCCATAGAGTCATTTCTGCCTTCTGTTCCTTTTACAAAAAGTTTAGGCTTACATGTATGATCTCTACCTGTTCTGTATTAATTTTCATGGGTCAGCATTCCTTCTGTACACACCCATCCTTTGTGCAGTAGCTGGGTTAACTCACCTCTGGTTCATGTTTGCTTAGGCAGTGAACATCTGTATTACCTCCTTTTTTCCACTATTCCTGCAGGCTGTCATTAATTAGTGTCACCTAATCAAGGGTGTCTAGCTAGAAGTTGGGTATTTATCTGAAAATTTTATTTATGGCTGAGCCTATAGCTAGACTAGTCAGATACCCCATCATACCATAATCTGGGTTTGTGGTTAGTCATTTGCTATAAAAGCAAAAGGGTGAGTTGACTTAAAAGCAAATACCATTAAATGACTCCTTGGCAGTAGTATGAGGTATTGACTAGGTAGATAGGCTCTAACTATACTCCTGTCTATAGAGTAAAAAAAAAAAATCCTATATCTTTTAAAGAATATCTGATTTACGAAAATCTTCATTAATGCTAGATAGATTTTAATACCCTTTTGCAATTTACATAAGGCAAATTTCATGTTAATAATAGCTTTTTGGAGGCTAAACTTGCTGACACGGAATGTAAACACAGGGGAAGTGCATCTCTCCCTTCACTTGTCAAATCCAAGATGGACGCTACGTGTAGTTCACCTACTCGTGCACCACCTGTGCATCTCATTTACGCGCTTTGTTCCAACGTAGTCGCACCTGCCCTCGCTCGTGTAACAAACACTATTGTCATTTATCTTTGCATAACCTTGTAATCGCTGTGATATGTGCCATTATTGATGAGTGGAAAACAAATGTTCAGATTTTGCTCTATTTTGGTTATTGTGTAGTGATTAATAACTCTGTAAATGGCTAGCAAGCGTCCTGTTGAGTCTCCCACCTCTGGGAAAGCCAAGGCTTCAAAGAAGACTGTGTCTTTGGAGATGAAGTTAGACATTGCTAAGCAGCAGGCTTGTTATTATAAATGTGATGAGTGTTGTTGAATTTCTTGTATCTAATTAGTGTAGGATAGCTTTTTCTATGATATATGTCTGTCGGACAGGCCAGGAACGTATCCCATTGAAACATATGTTAAATGATTTATAATAGGGTTTCTTGGAATGCAACCATATCATAAATCAGTCAATACTGTACGTACTTAGATTTTATGTACAGGTATTTATAAAAAATTTTTAGTTTGCTGTTAAAACCAAGTTCCTCTACCACTTAATTCTCTTGGGTTTGGGCAGGCACTTTCCTGCGAGGTGCTCGGGGTTTGGTCTGTTACTCACCTCACAGCAATTGACTGCACCACACGGGAGATAATTGTACGTAATGAGTCATAGAATGCTTGTTATTTGAGATAAAAAGGTGGGATTTGTTGCATTAGCATTTTACATAAATTATCTACAAACTGTTTCATGTGAGTAATCAAGATAAAGTAATTGATACACAAGCACTCGTAGAACACAGAATTGTTTTGCTCTTAATGAAAATGTTTATACAGTACTGTATGTTTATACAATGCTTTATACCTTTGTTATTTCATGTGATTACAAAATAAACCTTATTCTTTGAGAGACATCATAGCTATAGCCTTGGTTTCAATGTTTGAAAGGCTAAGTACACCAATGCTATAGCCTTGGTATACTTATCCTTCCAAATGTTGTAGATTTCCACCCTTAAAAGACACCAAGGGCCACATACTCAAAAGCATCTATGGGACTGTATCTGTTTGTTTACCCCGTAACTGGAGTTACCGTCCCTGATCGGTATATCCAAAACAAATATATGTCAGTGGACTCCGTAAGCGAGTCCGTATTCGAGGCCGAAACTTACAGGATCTCCTTAGCTGCTGTAGCACGCTCAACCCTGATGTAGTAAGTATGCTATTTCCTGATTGCATGACAAAAAATAATAAAATTTGTAATAAAGCTTGTTAGACTTGTTTTATCATAGAATAACGAAGAAAATGTTTTGTACATCATCATACTAAAATATGATATTACAGTTTGTCTTTTTAGTTAATTTTTTTTTTTTTAAGAGAAGGGGCTTGAGAGTGTTTATATTTGTCACGGAATGGACGAGACACATCTTTTGTCTTATACAACTTTTCAAGTAATTTGTACCAAAATATTGTCCACATTTGTGGTAAAAATATTTTTTATTACTTAGTAAACTTGCAGATAGACCTAATTAATGTGGTATAGCCTTAGATATCCTTCAGTAACGAAAGCCAAATACGAGGTCAAGTGAACATTTTTGCCTAGATTTCGCCTTCTTTTTGCATATACCCCTGTACAGTCTATCCTCGACTTATGACATATTCGACTTACGACCACCCGGACATATGACGGCCATGGTCGTATAAAATATTTTTCCCATTACGTATTTTCGAGTCCCGACGTTTGTGATAGCGCTGTGTACTGGCAAAATTTTCGTTTGTAATTCCCTTTAAAATGGCTGGCAAGCGTAAAAGTAAAAGTTCTCGTGTGCTGAGAAGAAAAAGAGACCCATTTTAGAATTTCTATGTATTATTTTCGCCTTTTCGACTTACGACCTGGTTATAACAAGTTATTCTGCCAAGTATTCAAGAAGTACCCATGACTCATATTTAAAAATACCTAACCCAATCTAAGTTCATCAAAAAGGGGATAAAAATTAACAGTGGTATAGCATTTTTTTTCTGAGAAAAAGAATTATGTTCTTAGGTTTTTTTGACTGATTACGTTCAGTAGTGATTTTTTTCGCTTACCTTATTTAACCTAACCTAACGTTACCTTACCTAATCTAACCTAACGTTACCTTACCTAATCTAACCTAACTTAACCTAAGAAAGCCGCAACCCACATGACAAACAAATGAAGTTCTCTAGAAATTTTTCAATTACTTTAAAAAAACAACACATTTGCAGAGATAAACTATTTTATAATCATTTCTCCAACTTGTCTATAAATCTGTTGATGATATATAAACTTAACTTAGGATACCACTATTATGTATTTTAACCTTTGATTATCTCTGTGAATTAGGTAAGGTAAGGTAAATTTAGGTTAGGGTAGGTAAGGCATGTTAAGGTTAAGGTAGGTAAAGGTTAGGTTAGGTAAATGTTAGGTAAGGTAAAATTTGATTTGGTAAGGTTACGTTAGGGTAAGATACATTTCACTAATTTTCTGGCAAAAAAGAGCATCACTACTTATTGTATTAAACCAAAAAACTATGAAGAAAATATTTTTTGTAAGAAAAAATGTGTTGCTACTGTTATGCAATTTTACCCAAACACACAGCTGCTAGACTTACTTCAAGCATCAAGTATTGCTCAAACATAATTCCATCTTCTCTAATGATGCTTAAAGTATGTGTAGTTGCTGTGTGTTTTGGTATGGGTTGTAATGTAGAGAAAATGACCCTATTTCCGCCTTGCAATAGCTTACGAGATCTCAAAGTTACCGTAAGTAATGAAGGAAAGACAGCCATTTTAAATCGAGTTGTGGGCTTCGTAAGTCTTAAGTGAATCACCACCACAGGAGTTTATAAACTTTTAAGCACTTACGATGTTCGTAGGTCCTTCCGTCTATTGTTTACAAACTACTGTCATGTGCGTTGATCTCGGCTGACTTCTCCTTCTCAGACTACGTATTGGGTTTTTCCTAAGTTACTGCATCATTCCGTGTGACCCACTATGCTTGGGACCGCATAGTTCCCAGTGTGTTGCATTCGGTGAGGTATTTCATCACCCATCAGAAGTCAAGAGGTGTGGGCCTCACACCTGAGTCATGGGTGCTGCCACTTGAGCTGTCAGATATGTAATTGTTATTATTTATAGTATGTACTCATTGTGATAACATATATTTTAGCTCATATTTAATTACCCATTGCACTCATAATATATGACATCCCATTTAAAACCCTGCATTGTAGTATATGTGAGCTTGTAAATTAATTAATGTTCATCTGGCATGTGCTTAGAAGAAAAGTGTGGTGATATGAGGGGAGGGGGGGGATAGACCCATGGAGGGAGAAACTGACTGTACAGACACCACTCCCCCCACCCCACCTCTGCGCCTTTCACTAACTCCTGCCTCTCATTTTTCATTTGTGAAATAATATTGTTTATTTGTTATTTATTAATTAGTAAAGATGCGTTACTGTAATAATCTGTGCTTAGTAGTACCTGTACCCTTCATATACAGTACAATAGAGTATACCGGGTACTGTATTTTATACAGTATCTCAAAAGTAAAAATAATGTCATCAATGGTATGAAATTTATTTCTCTTAGCACAATCAGAGCAGATGTTGTGAATAAAAGTTTATACACTTTTTTGCTAGCAGCCTCGCACCTCACCATTTCTAAATGTCTAGTCGGTCACGGGGGGTTTGCCAGTAACAAGTCATGGAGAAGTCCAATACGGGTGAGTAGACTGTGTTGGAACTGCCCGCTGTCCTCATACTAAAAGTAAAGTACAATTTTTTTATCTTTTTATACAGGATGGATCCCGCTAATCTGGGTCCCAATAGCCTGGCAGCTTCGATGGTTCTGGGCGGTGTCACTGCTCACTTGTTGCCACTATTTTACCTTTAAATACTTATAATTTACCCATGAATATGCCTCCTAAGAGACCAACAAGTAGCGGAAGTGGTTGTAATGCGGCAAAATGTAAGCATGTGACATTATTTATTTTAGAGATGTCTATACTGAAGAAATTAGACAGCAATAGTACATTTTATGCATTATTTTGCCATTTTTAACCTCGGCTTCAGTGGTTAGGAATTTTCGCTAATTTGGAACTGGTCTGGTCCCAAGCTTCCCAGATTAGCGAGGTCCAACCTGTATATAGGGAATAGCCCCCCTGGGCAAAGGTCATTACCCACAATGGGGCCTGGAGGGCAAAAAATAAAAATAAAAGCATGATAGCACTTATTTTTATAATGTATCAGTACTGTAATGATTAATAAAAAAAATGGGGAACTTGGCAATGGCCAGTCCTACCCGCAACTCCTTCCTATGCCGAGGTCAGGGGAAAAGATCACACTGTGATCATTCAAAATGTTTCTAGTTCATTCCTCTTGTCTCACGACAAGTCGCTTATGGCAACTCCACCTCCGGCAGCATTCTCCACATGTTTGACTGAGACGGGTACAGTATCTCCTCTTTTTATTCCCACAAGGATTAATGTTGTTAGTTCATATTCTACTTGTGAAATGGATCTGATCACATATGAGACAAATATTAACCATTGTACTTATGCACAATTAATGGTAACTGATGCACTTTTAGAAGAGATCTTTGGTACTGTTTACTTGTATTTCCTGCAGGAAGTTCCTGTGAGTGTAGCCTGCCCTACTGAGCCACCAAGCCTCGCTGTAGGTCAGGGACGATATGCCTAAGGACAATGTGGGAAGTAACACTCCATAACACATCAACTATTCTAAGGAAACCCATCAGTTCCCATATTGTAAAGGTGCAGAAGATAAAGCCTACATCTGAAATTGAGAATCTCACCTATGTAAAGGAAGTACTGATGGAAACTATACCTGTTTGGTTGCCCATGAAATTTATTGACAGTGTATACCATCCCACAGTGACTTCTTTTTCTCTGATAGTGTAGTGTAAGCTGTGATTACCATGTTCATTCTCTTGATTATTATTAGGATATACTTTAGACAACGATTATGTAAGTCAGCCATATTGTATAGTCAGTACTATAGTAGAAGGTACAAAGTCTCCTACTACTGTACCTACCCTGCTCTGATACATGTAACAGTTTAATTCCAGTCTCAAGGAACATTGCCATCCAAAGAGAGGAAGCATTACCAGAGTTGTTTTTTTCCGGGCATTAGCCCACCCGGGCACAGGTCATTTTATGACCCACATCAAGGCCTGGGGAGCGAAAATATAATAAAATAATAACAATAAAATTAATAAAATCTAATATAAATTATAATTATAATAATAATAATAATGATAGTAATTATAAAGAGCCATAAATAAATACAAAAATGAAAAAGATCAAGAGTGAGAAACAATATACTGTATGTATGCTGTGTTGTCAATAGTAAGAAAAACAATTCAGACCCTGCAATTGTGTGTAAATGAGGCAGAAAGTCAGATGAGCAACCTGGGATTTGGTCACAATTTTCATGCTGCCATATGGCAGCAGGGTCTACCATTAGACAGCACATTATGCTTCCAATATCTTGGTAGCAGACATCCAATGACAATGTTGTCTTCTTGATTATCATTACTTTATTGTATTTTTATTTCTGATGCGCAGTTCTATTTCATGTACTCTTGTACAGTAATTTGTATTTTATTTCATGTACATATGTATTTCCACTTACTGTTGTGCATTCTGATTTACTGATTAGTATTATAATTTCAATGTTTGTTTGCTATACTTTGTAGTAACTTGACTGTAAGGTATTCAAGGACAAATTCATGGAGAGGCCGGTGTTGGACTGATGAACTTAACGAGAGCTCAGTTTTCTCATCAATTAATTGGAACATTGAGAACAGTCAAGGACCAAAGCTAGGAGTCCATATATACATTTGCGGTATGCGTTTGCGTTCAATTGCCTTGAAAAACGTACACCTCCAGTTTCCATTTGCAGTTGCATATTCTGTTAAACACAGCGGGAACTGGACAAGAAAGATGGCGCCAAAAAAGCATTTTTCGTAAGGTCCGGACATGAATTTTTGTCATTTTTGGCAAACACGCAAAAAATGAAATTTTCGTAAGGTCCGGACCTGTCGTTCCGGCACTTTTGGCGAACCGGCCAAAAAAGCATTTTTCGTAAGGTTCGGACATGAATTTTTGTCATTTTTGTCGACCCCGCAAAAATGAAATTTTCGCAAGGTCCGGACCTGTCGTTCCGGCACTTCTGGCGAACCGGCCAAAAAAGCATTTTTTGTAAGGTCCGGACATGAATTTTTGTCATTTTTGGCGACCCCGCAAAAAATGCAATTTTTGGCAGTGGACTCTGCTTCCGG